CTTAATATAATATGTTGTGGTGGTTAATAATCCGTTAAATGATTGAAAATTAAAAAAGAATGTTGAAAAATTGGTCTCGTAGATGAATGCTTTGAGTACGACATTATTGTGAGAGTAGCCTCCGTAGATAGGTTCCACAACTTTTCCACTATGAAGAGAAAAAATGAATTAATGGAAAAAAGTGTTTCTTGCATTGAGTATTTGAGTTACAACTAGATTTTTTTTCTTGGTTTGCTAAATCTATATTCTTTTAAATTCTAGATTGGATTTTATTTTTATCATATATTAAAAGAGACATTTTTAATGTCTATGAAATTTCGTAGCACGCATGTAAATCATATTTCATCAAACAAGAATTGTAGATATTATTAATTCATATTAGGCTTAAATGCACTTTTAGTCTTCCTATTTATAAATTTTTAACGTTTTAGTCCCCCTTTTTAATTTTTTCAACCTTTTAGTCCCTCAAGTTGTCACTTTTTGGAATTTTTTTAGTCCCCCTCCTGTTTTGATTATGTGGCGCTCAAAATGGTGATTGGGCATGGTCAGTTAGATGTCAAGTCATTTAAATAGTTGCAATGTCATTTATAAATTTTAATAAAACATTAACATTTTAAAAAATAAAAATTAATGTTAGACAATCTACATAATGAAGAATCCTAATTTTATCGTGTTTATCCCTTTACTCATCTTTAGAAATTCTGCTACTATTCCTTCTCCTCCACGTCTTATACTTCATCTTCTCCACATTTTCTACCTCATCTTGTCCATGTCTGGTTTTTCCCAAGCAAGCAGGCGTACAAAATCTCATTCGAACTTTAAATCGAACCATGACGAATGTCTATGCGGCCTTCAATAGGGTAATTCTAGAGTGTAGAGATAAACCCATAATCAATTTGTTGGAAGGTATTAAACATTACTTGACTAAGAGGATTACTAGTCAAAAGGAGCTTATGAATACATACACTGATGATATTTTCCCTAGAACTCAATTGCTTCTTGAAAAGAACAAAAAACATGCAAAAGGTTGAACACCCATATGGCATGATGATGATGATTTGTCCATCTTTGGTGGCACCAATGGCATAAAGACATACTCTGTAGATCTGAAACAACAGACATGTGCTTGCAGAAAATGGGATTTGACTGGTATTCCATGTAGTCATGCCATATCATGTATATGGCAAAACAAGAAAAAACCTGAAGATTATATCTCTGAGTATTACAGGTTTGTGCATTCACCATATAAATTTGTTTATTATGTTTGCTTAGTATGACTAGATCTGTTTATTATTGGTTGTGCATAAAGTCACATTTCAATAACAGTTATTTACATATAATCTACCCTATAAATGGGCCCCAACTATGGCCTTTGTTAGAGGGTCAGGTACCAATAAAACCACCAATGCTCAAAAGGACCATTGGTCGACCCAAGAAGCTGAGGAACAAAGTGAATGATGAACCAAGAAATCCACATGTACTTCCTAAGAAGCTTACAATTGTGAGCTGTCATAAATGTGGTGCCATGGGACACAACAAAAGGAGTTGCAAAGGAAAAAGGGCTACTGAGAGAGTCATTCCCAAAGGTGGTAACAATAAGAAGGGTAATGCATTGAAGGATGGAAAGAGACAAAAACTTGAAACAAAAGGTGGAAAGAAGACAAAGGCAGTTGTAACAGTAATTAGGAACTCATCACAAGCACCTCAACCTTCTCAAGATTAGTTCAAATTAGGTTTTATGTAATGAGTTTGTAGTTATTTTGTAATCAGTTTATTGTCCATGTATTGGAACAAGTTATTGTCTATGTAATGACTTTAATGATATCTCTATGAAGTAATGCTCAATTTTAACTTCCTTGTCAGTTAATTATACAGTATTGGAACTGACATGTCCTTTAATTCATCACAACCTTCCTAAGTAATGACTATAATTGGAACATGTAGTATGTAATGACCGTGAGGTCAAAGTTCCTCATACTTAGCTATACTTATTTTAATGATGTCAAAACATACATAGGTAGAAAAATATACTTTGGACGGTATCATCAAGTCACATATGCATACCTTATTTCTCTTGCATCAAACATTGGTCAAAACATGTTTAGTTACATATAGAAAAAGTACAATATGTGTTCCATATAGGTTTGATCATGTTGGTCAAGTTAGAGATATATTAGGATCTCTTAAAAGTAGCTAAATATAAATTAAAAAAAAATGCATTTTTGCAAGTTCTGAGTCTTTGAGTCGACTCATAGCCTGCTTAGGTTGACTCATACATAAGTCATTTTTTCATGTATTGCTCTAAAGAGAGCTCACGTCGATCCTCCGGTCGACTCATACTGTGTGCATTTGTGATTGTCTAAATTGGAGTCTTGTGCGTCGACGCATGACCTGTTCCGGTCGATGCAAAGTGCTGTTTTCTGCATAGTTCTGAAATTGGGAGAGCTCTAATCGACCCCCCTTGTTGTAGGTCGACTGCTCGCGCGTTTTTCACCAAAATTCTATTATGTGAAACTTTCAAAGTGTTTGTTAAGTTGGTTAATTATTTTCACATTTGCATAAGCAACATGACTAATTGGAACATGTCCTATAAGCAACGTCTGCTATAATAATCTGCTATAAAAACCATATAACCAAGATACCATATAAGCCACAAAATAAACCAAAAATAATCCCCATTCTCATTCATCAATTCATGGGTTACATTCATATAAACTATAAACATGTTAAACCAAAAATTATCATTCTCATTCATCAATTCATGGGTTACATTCGTACAGTCAAATTTATTACACTTGTTACAACTAAACCATAAACATATTACATCATTTTTTAACCACAACCTACTTCATTACACTTGATACAACTAAACCTAATAACATTACAAAGCTCATAACACATGTAAACTTCAGTTGCATATTAAGAAACTTGATCTTCATCTTCAAATCATCCTCTTTGACCCTGCATTCATTAACCTTATTTTGCTCTGAGCATAATTTTTCCTTCAAAGATGTAATCATTTCTTTTGCTCTTGGGGTCAGCTCTTCGTCATACCAAACAAAATGACCACACCTCTTTTGTCCCACAAGCTACCGACAACATATGAGAAAAAACGTAAGCCATTTTCATGATTGGAGAAAGTAGAAGTGATAAATCATAGAAAAATAATATCTTATGCATCCCACAACCATAAAAGCGTCGTCCTGGATTAGAATCAGTCTATGATGTCATCAGTGGTGCTTCTAGGCCGCACAGACATTCACTATGGTTCGATTTGAAGTTCGAATGAGATTTTGTATGACTACTTGCTTGGGAAAAATCAGACATGGGCAAGGCGAGGTGGAAGATGTGGAGAAGATGAAGTATAAGACGTGGAGGAGAAGGAGTAGTAGCAGAATTTCTGGAGATGAGTAAAGGGATAAACATGATAAAACCAGGGTTCTTCATTATGTAGATTGTCTAACATTAATTTTTATTTTTTAAAACATTAATGTTTTATTAAATTTTATAAATGACATGACAACTATTTAAATGACTTGACATCTGATTGATCATGCCCAGTCACCATTTTGAGCGTGACATAATCAAAACAGGAGGGGATTAAAAAAATTCTCAAAAAGTGACAACTTGAAGAATTACAAGGCTGAAAAAATTAAAAAGGGGACTAAAACGTTAAAATTTGTAAATAGAGAGACTAAAAGTACATTTAAGCCATTATATTAAGTTGTTAAATTAAATTGTTAATTAATTAAGTAATTAATAAAATAAATAAATATTGTATGTTTTTAAAATAAACTAAATTTGTTTGAAATAAAATATATTAAACATAAATTATAATATATATTGGTTTTAATAAAAAATATTTTTATCTTTTTAAAAATAAAAACATTTATTTTAAATTAAAGTCATATGTGTTTGTTTGATTTTGTGATGAGCATATGAGTGAATTGAATTTGTAGAATTAATTATCGCTAAAAATTAATTAAATATAAAATTATTGTATAAAAGTGAGTTGAACAACAAATTTTATTATAAAAATAATATTTAAATTCAAAAATTCTAAATTAAAATAAATTATAACTTTAAATAAAATCATTTATAAAAGTAGAATAAATTATCAAACACTTTGATATCATTTTAGAATCAATTCTTTCCTCATTAAAAGTCAAACTAAACATAACTGTGTTGTACCACTTCTTTTTAATTTTAAGTTTCATTAAAATATGAGACTTTTGCCAAATGTATTTTTTTATAAGTTCTCAATTGATTTTTCACAAATTTTATTGATCCGAAAATAATCTTGATTATCTTAACTGTAATAAAATTTATTTGAATTTTATAAAAATGTTAATTAAATACCACAAATTTTTTAAAAAATTCTTTACAATCTCAATCCAATTCATCCCCTAAAATAATAAATTCATATATCTATTATATGAGTTTATAAAAAATTTCATTAAATAAATTTTAACCTATAGTATTCTTACGTGTCACACATACGTACACAGTTCAAAAACATTGCACTCCATTTTCATTGCAAAGGCTTGCCCTCTCTTCCGACAGTTGAAAATACAACGCGTTTCATACTTTCATGTGTGCGTTCTACTCAATCTTAACCCTTTTCCGCCAACCTCAGAGATCCACACTCATCGCTACGCTAATCGCACACCTCATTCATCAATCTTCTCCTCGATTCAATTCGATTCGGTTTATCTCTCTATCTTTCTCTCACTTTTTCGATCCACATTTTCATTTCTCAATTTAACGTCAATTTCGCGTTTATGCTTTCCGAATTGGATTCGCAGGAACTCCTGTAATCTTCTATTTAGGGTTAATATCGTTGAATAATGATTTAGTTAAGTATAGTTATTTGTTAATTAATTTGTTAATTACTTGTTAATTATTTGTTAATTTATTGGAATTTTGCATGTTGAAGATTGTTAGCAGAATTGGAAGAGGGGAAAAAGTGAAAGAGATATAGTTGTTAGTGGTTTTCATCTATGTTTGGAGGTCCTGTTGTTCCTGCTAACAGTCCTCACTTGCGCAAGTCTGGGAGTAGAGCTGTTGTCTATGATTTTGGTATATTTTAATGGATTATGTTTCTATTTTAGGTTATTAGTTGTATTGGTTTTTGGGGTTCTATTGATGTAATTTATGGTTTGTGCTGTTTGTAGATGAATACGAAGGGGAGGATGGGGCTGATGAAAGTTTATTGCATTCTGGTGAGGTAAATGATACGAGGGGTGGTACAACACCGATGAGTGCTACTGCAATGATGCCCTCTCCTATTTTGTTGTGGAGATTCAAGGTTTTTTATTTTTTTGCTCTTTTCTTTTTTTAATTTTATTGTAAATTTTCTTCATTTGAATGAATGCAAAAGTTTTCTGAATGATGGAAGTGAATGTTTCTTTTATTCTTGTGGAGTTGCTTTATATTTGATTCGTTAGGAGAGAAAATTTTAGGGTCCGTTGACATAAATAACTTATTTGAGAAGTGTGAACAACAGGCAATCATTCAGTTAATTTTTTCTTCATAGTTGAATATGTTATTTTAATTGTGAACTAAAATACGGCTTTAAGCCTGTTGTATGCTTCAAACTGCTCTCTTTCCTTTTTTTTTTTTTTTTTTTTTTCCTTTTTCACAAATGTAATTGAGGATGATGTCCAGGTACTATTATTCCTTATTTGGGGCTGCATTTGTTGCAAGGTAAGTAATGTTTTCCCTCTACAATACTTCTTCTCATTCCCTCCACGTGGTTTGAGGTTAAGATAACATCTTCTTAAGGATTCACTGCGTTGCTTCAATCTTTTATGCCATGTTGGAAAATTGCAGATTGGATGGGATTCTGTAATGAGAATGAGTGCAGACAAGCGGGATTTATTCATATATGAAGCATTTTTGTATTTTAATCCTCTTCTTCTCGCGGTTAGTTTTCTCCCCATTATTTCATTTTCTCCCCATTATTTCATTTTCTATGTTTGCATATGGATTCAAAGATATTAGATTTAAACTTTTAAATTTTTATTACATTCTTTATATTGTCATTGTGTTTCATTTTCATCTCATCTTTATGTTTCAGACTTTGATGGTTTGGCTTTGGGGAATCAACTTATGGTTTTTTGCTCAGGGTGGAGTTAGTTATTCAAAAATATTTGATCTTGATCAAAATCATCTGACACATGCAGAAATATGGAAGGTATCAACTCGCCAATTTAACTCATGTCATGTTTGGCACATTGGTTTCTATAGAACCGTAAGGGAAATTAACATTCATGTCACCTGGAAATTGGAATTTAGCATCCATTTTTGTTCCAATAGTTGGTTTTCTCAATAATAAACTTTTACTTTTATTTTGTCAATCCATTTTTATGCTTAGTACATAAAGTAAGCATCAAATGGAATCATAGTTAAAACTAGTAAAGACCAATAAAGAACAAAACAAACATGGATTCATTCCTGTTTGCAAGAAATGAACATTCATGTGCTTTAGGAGAGAATATACCCTTTTTTTAATATAAAAACATAAACTAAGGAGCACTTGTTCCTCTCCGAATATGATATGTTGAAATGGAAGAATCAATTTGTGTACTACATATGGTATAAGTAATCTTGCTTTTATTACACTAATCTTTTTGTTAGTTTTTGGTGTTTTGGTTTCAATTATGGTTATGATATTGCTGAATGACAGCCTGATACCTGGAAGGCATTAATGCCACACATTTAGATACGGTATCATTGACAAAAGGCATGGGAAACTATAAATTTGAAGTTCTTATAAGATGTAACCCGGATGTAATTCAACCCTCAAAATTAGTATACAGTTAATATAAAAACAGAAACCTGAAATAGAAAAAGAGAACAAATATTTGAAAAATTAGCTTATGACATTTTATGCAGCCTTACCTTACATTTTCCAGAGGCTGATTCTATTACTCAAATCTATGATATCCCCATCAATAGGCATATGGTAAGAAATCCAATCGCTGTGCCACCCTTCACTGTTATTATATCGCTTAAATGACTAATATTCCTGGCTTTCTTCTCAGTTCTCAGCCATTTCTCTAATTTTTTTTTCTCTTTTTACACTTCGTTCCCCACTTTGTGATAATTAGTCTCAAATGTTTGACTGGTAACTTTCCTCCTAAACTTTTTCCATTGATTGTTGCAGTGTGCCATGTGGATGACAGTTATTGTTCCAACCAGTATGACAGCATATATTTATCTTTATTCTCGTGGAGAAGTCGCATATGCTGCATCACAACCAGTGTAATAGATGCATCCACACTTATTATTTGTGTTTGCTTGGTTATCACTCTTATCAATTTAGTATTGTAGTATTGTCATTTGCTAATTGCTTTACATATGTTAAATTTTCCATGTACACTTTTCAGGTGCTCTTGTATGCTGCTATTGTAATGGTTTTGATATTCCCCTTCGATATCTTCTATTTTTCATCTAGATATTTCTTCTTAAGGACACTCTGGCGAATAATTTTCCCACTACAGGCAAGTTTGCTTTTATTTGGATGTATTATGTCGAGTCAAGTTCTTGCTGTGCTACTCTTGAAATAGTGGTCAGTAGTTATGCACTATATATATATGTTATGCACTATATATATATGTTATGCAGGGGCAAGGAAGGAGATATATAAGCATGAAAATAGAATGCTTCATTCATGTGTATCATATTCACATGCGCCTTCTCCGTGTTCAGTTTCATATAAATAACAGAAATACCCATGCAACTCCCTCTTATTTGGCATCCATTAAGAAAGTAGCAACCGGTGTTTTTTCACATTAGATGTGATGATTGTAATGCAGATGCTACTGTACATGTTGTACTTCTCAATGTAATGAAGAGAGAAGAAAACTGCTAAGACTATTCACTATTTATCATAAATAGTAAGCTATTCATAGAAGAATGACCTTTTATCACAGCCATTTCCAAGATAGGTCCCACCAATTAATGACATGTGTAAACAACCTTTGCTAGTACATGCACAAGTAAAACAATTAAAGGAAGTGGGTTGAAGGTTTCTTTGAAGATGCCCAGAACTATTGTAGTGTTTTAAAAAATAGAAGAGAATTATTGTCGTTCTTTATTTATTTAGATTCTTAAGACTTGATATTTGAGCCTTAGGCTTCCCCTTTTTTTTCTTTATCCCTCACCAACTTATGCTTTTGGCATGTTCTTGGAACTAGGCTTGCGTATGATCTGACACTGTTCTATTTTCATGAAAATAGGCAATATCATTTGCTGATTTTTTCTTGGCTGATATCTTAACTTCCATGGTAAAGGTATGCTTTCTTTCCAATATTATCTTTCACTTGAAAAATCTATTCTCTCCCATGTTATTCTTCATTAATAATTTTATTTATTAGGCTTTTAGCCTAAGTATTAGTTTATTTATAGGTCTAAAGGTATACTTTTTCCTGTATTTAGTTACCTTTATTACTGATATAGAGGTCCAATTCTGCCACACACACATGAAACAACCTGAGAGTTTAGAATTGGCATGATTTGTTGATCTAATCCAAGTTTCTATGAATCCACTTCAATATTTATTTTGATTATTATTGTAATTTTATGCAGGTCTTTTCTGATTTGGAGCGTTCAGTATGTAGAATGGTCCACCGACAGGTTCGATTCTTATAAATACATGTCTTTCTATTATCAGTTAGGGAGTTTATATTAGCATGTTTTAGCGTAATTTTTGAGTTTCCTATTCTGATGATCCCATGAATTTGGTCAACCTCGAATATATGATAATTTTCTTTTGTATATAGCATTGAGTTATCTATGCAAATAGTTTTCTAGAGCTAAATCAGCTCAGTTGATTCTATAATATTAAAATTTGTAATTCAACTACGATTTTGATTGTGCTTACTGTTGAAATACTTCTTATTTAATACTATTTATTTCCTTGTTTAAGTGTCATTATATTACTCCTAAAATAAAGGAGTTAATTTTGTATTTCCTCTCCTATAAAAGGAGCCCTTTTTTCTTCATAATAGTATAACAGAATTATCACCCATATGCTTTTCTACACTTACCATTCCCAAATCTTATAAACGGAGTAATTTTTTTCTTGGTGAATACTTTATATACATTACATAGATTTAACTTAAAGTCGTTGCTTCAGTTTTCTCACATGTGGATCTATTTAAATTTCTTTGTAGGTTGCAACAGTTGCTTGGTTGGAAGCTGATTCTATTTGTGGCAGTCATTCTGTTGCAATTCCTTTAGTTCTTGTTTTGCCTTACCTTTTTCGCTTAAACCAATGTCTCCGGCAGTACAAAGATACTGGGGAAAAATCTGCTCTTCTGAATGGTAAGAGCTCTTGGTTGTGCTATAATTAATTAAAGCTCCTGTTCTGTTTCATTTTTAGAATTTGAATTATATCAGTCATCATTTAAATTTTGCTAGTTTATGAAATTGATGTTATACATTATTTCAACGGACAGTCGTTTCTCACTAAATTGATGTTATACATCACTAATTTAATAGACATATTTTCCTGTTTCGCTTTTATTGCGAAGTCATGCTTGTAGTCAAATACATCACAATTTAGGGCACATTTTCCTCTATTTTACTGCCATGTGTTTTGGGCTTCACTTTGTATTACCTAAATTATATAGTAATCTAATGCAATGTCACTATGTCGGCTTTCTTGAGAGCTTCTGCCGCAGTTTGAAATTTCTTATATTTTAAATAATTTTTGGTGTTGTCACCGACTCATTCTTGTGTAATAAATGGACTGTGGTTGTTGCACACTCCCTCTGGAATGAAATATAAGCAAAAAAGAATATCTGAAAATTGATGTATCTTGTCTTGATTTTAAACCACATCACATGCATAATAAATCTTAAAATTTTGGCTGGGTTTAATTCTTCCCCACAAAACCAACTTGTAAGATGAGGACTGTCCAAGCCTTATAAGCCCTAACACAGTTATATCTCTAAGAAATGTGAGATTAAACCCATGCCTTACACCCTGCACAGTGAAGGTGTTGGAGGCTGCAATGAAGCCAGCTAGATGTGGGCTGCAATTACGCAAACTTTACAAATCCCCCTCATGCTAGACCCAATGGGTCTGGAGAGTGGATGATGTCGGAAACTCATCAACGTATCCCCGATAGACTCTAATATCATCTTAGAGTTTGAAACAAGTCTAATTCAATTCCACAAAACTAGGTTGAGTTGTAAGGTGAGGATTTCCCAAGCCTATATCATCGATAGACTCTAATATCATCTTAGAGTTTGGAACAGGTCTAATTCAATTCCACGAAACTAGTTTGAGTTGTAAGGTGAGGATTTTCCAAGCCTTATAATCGAAACACTACAAAGGTCATATCTCTACGAGACCTGTCCCTCATACCAAACGCAATGAAAGTTATGGAGGCTGCAATGAAGGTAAACCTAAATCCCGCAATTAAGGCGGTTAGAGGCAGACTGCAATTAAGGTGGACTTTCCAACTATATTTTTCTGGCATTCTTTAAAGGGGAAGGAGGAATTTGATAGCAGCAGGGATGGAACCCTAGACCTCCTTCTTAATGCTCCTTCAGAGTCCCAGCTCATACTATAAGAGTATATGAATGATCATCACATAGTGTAACAGAATCAGCTCTGAAACAACTGATTCAAGCAGTTTGATACGCCTGCAGCTGGCTTTGGTGGTCGCAGTAATCAGTTTCGTGGCAGAGGCCATCGTGGTGGTAGATTTTGTGGTCGTGGTGCTCGCAATGGCTACAGGAATGTGGTTCAGTGTCAAATTTGTCACAAGCATGGACATGATGCCAACTATTGTTATTATCGCCACACTCAAGATTCCTATGGTTTACCTCCCACTTCTGGCAATTTTGGTATGCCTCAGTCCAATGTGTGGACTCAACCTGGGTACAGGGCGCCTAATTCCCTGTATTTTCCTTCTCCCAGACCTGAAAATCCTTTTATGCAGCCTCACTATACAGCACCAAGACCCCAGGCTCTAGTTGCTGGTACTGATCACACTCCCTTCTACAATCAAAATTGTTACCCTGACTCTGGAGCAACTCACCATGTCACCCCTGATGCCTCAAATCTCATGGAATCTATTTCTCTTCTTGGTTCTGATCAAGTCCATGTAGGAAATGGGCAAGGTTTGACTATTACCTCTCTTGGTTTTATGCAATTTCCTTCCAATATATATCCTAATAAGTCTGTCCAAATTGATGGTGGTGTGAATTCAAGCCTCTCACTCATTTTTTGACTTCTCATGGCATAATTCATAGAATCACTTGCCCTCACACCCATCATCAAAATGGGTCTGTAGAGAGGAAGCATAGACTTGTTGAAACAAAATTAACCTTCCTAGCCCAAGCCAAATTACCTCTTAAGTTCTGGGACTATGCCTTTCTTACTGCCACTTACCTCATCAACAGATTTCCCACTCCTTTGGCCAATGTCTCTCCATTCTTCCTTCTCTATTTCAAATATCCTGACTATGAATTTCTAGAACCTTTTGGTTGTGCTTGCTTCCCCCCACTTAAGACCCTATAATTCCAACAAGTTTGCCATGCACTCCACAGAATATGTCTTTCTTGGGTATTCCTCATCTCATAAAGGGTACAAATGTATGGATTCTAGTGACAAAGTCTTCATCTCCAAAGATGTATTGTTTAATGAGGTCAGATTCTCTTTTCTAGATTTTTTCCTTCCCCTCAGTCTGAGTCAACTACTGTGTCAGCATGGTCACCTTAGTTTGGCTCTTGCATACCTAGACCTTTGCAGGTCCATAATCCTTCTCAACCTCCTTCACCTTTACCAAGTGCTAGCCCTTCCACTCATGACTTACCCAGCCCCAATGTTTCTATCAACATAAATCTATCTGTTCCTAGTCCTGCTACTAACTCTCAGTCTTCATCTCAACCAACTGCCTCTAATGACTCTTTATCACCTCAATCTAACATTGGTTCCAACCTATATCAACACCTCTTACTGACCCTTCACACTCTATGCCAATGAGTACTTCCTCCCCACTTGCCTCCATAACCCCACCTAATGAGTCTACCTCAGCTAATACCTTTTCATCATCTACCTCCTCACCTATCCCCTCCACACACCCTCAAAACACTCATCTTATGGTGACCAGGGCCAAAAATGGCGTTGTTCAGCCTCTGTTACATCCCACCCTTCTCTTAACTCATGTTGAACCAGCCACTTATAAGCAGGCCATGGTTGTCCCTGAGTGGTATGCTGCTATGCAATCTGAATGAGGCACTGCTGAAAAATAACACATGGACCCTGGTTCCCGCCCCATCTCACAGGAAACCAATTGGTTGTAAATGAGGTTTTCGAGTAAAAGAAAACCCAGATGGCTCCCATGAACAAGTACAAGGCCAGATTGGTAGCAAAAGGGTTCCATCAAATAGAATGGTTTGACTACACTGAGACATTTTCACCTATAGTCAAACCAATCACTGTCAGGGTTGTATTGACATTAGCTATATCACAAAAGTGGACTATCCAACAGTTGGATGTAAATAATGCCTTTTTGAATGGCATTCTTAATGAGGAAGTATACATGGTTCAGCCTCCAGGTTTTGAACAAGGTGAGTCAGGCTTAGTTTGCAAGCTCCACAAGGCATTATATGGGCTTAAGCAGGCCCCCATAGCCTGGTTTGATAGGCTCAAAGGTGCTCCTCTCTCACTTGGGTTCACAGCCAGCAAGTGTGACCCCTCTCTATTCATTCTACATTCTGCTTCATGTTACACGCTTGTCTTAGTGTATGTGGATGGCATCATCATCACTGGATCCTCACAAAAGTTTATTCACACCTTAGTGCCCAAGCTCAACCTTTCATTCTCTCTAAAGGATCTTGGTCAGCTGGATTATTTTCTTGGCATAGAGGTCCATCATCTTGCTAATGGCTCCCTCTTATTGTCTCAAAGCAAATACATTAGGGATCTCTTGACGAGAACTCATATGTTAGCAGCTAAGAGTATTGCTTTTCCTATGGCTTCTAGTACAAAGCTATCTAAAGTTGGCTCAGCTCAAGTTAGTGACCCAACTTACTTCAGGTCTGTGGTATGGGCTCTGCAATATGCCACTGTCACCAGACCTAAAATCTCCTACGTTGTTAACAAGGTCTGCCAATTCTTATCTAACCCTTTAGAAGATCATTGGAAAGCTGTTAAGATAATTTTAAGGTATCTACAAGGTTTTGTGATGG